CGTCCCCACCCTGCGCTCCGCCCGTCCCCGCCCACGTCCCGCCCCGTGCCCTGGTTCCTGGCCTGCCTGGCTGGCTCTCTGGAGCATTCGTACCCGTACCTGTGCGCCCCCTCCCTCTGTCCCGAGGCCCAGCCCCAGTCTCTGGGCCCAGTAGCCCTTGCACCTGAGGCCTAGGGACATCACCCCACGACTCTGCACACCCAGTACTCCTCCAGGCCTGACCCACACCCTTCCCGGCCCTCGGTCTTCCCCACAAGGCTTCATTCCCGGGTTGTCTTAGGGCTTTAGACACCCCACTCACCCCCTCCTCCCCCAACACACACCCACTCGGAGGCCCTCCCAGCCTCAGGGGCCTGGGCTCTGTGCTCCGCGTCTCCTCTGTCCCGAGCCCCACAGCCCGGCCCTGCGTGTCCGCCTGCCGTACCTCCAGGTCGCACGCCCAGGCTCTGAGGCCGTGTGAGGACGCGTGCTCCGTGTACAGCGCGTCCCCCCGCCCTGACCGCTCCGCCCAGGGCCCCTGCTGTCCCGCCGGGTCGGCGTTGCCGCCACTGCACCTGGAAGGTGCGGCTGCTTCCTGCGGCCTGGGGGAGCCGGGCCTCAGCCCGACCTGGTGGGTTTGCCAGAGACCGGGAGGAGACTGACCTCTGCCCTGTCCCCGCAGGTGAGCGGCCCTTCGCCTGCAGCTGGCAGGAGTGCAGCAAGAAGTTCGCACGCTCCGACGAGCTGGCGCGCCACTACCGCACGCACACGGGCGAGAAGAAGTTCGGCTGCCCCATCTGCGAGAAGCGCTTCATGCGCAGCGACCACCTGACCAAGCACGCCCGCAGGGCTCGCGGGCCGGTTCGCTCAGCGACGCCAGCAGCCCGGCCGCCAGCCCCGCCAGCTCGCCCTGACGCCCGCCGCCCAGGTGACAGCTGAGGCCCAGGAGGTGTGGAGGACTGCCGTGGTGCCGGCCTTTCTCAGGGATGGACACGCCGTCCCACAGGCGGTGAGGACGCCCTCCCAGCGCTTACTCTGTCCATGGATTTGCACTCGGGAGCACCCTGGCCATGGCACTCGAACTTTGCACCAGAGTCCTGGGCCCTCGCCCTGACGCCCGCCGCCCAGGTGACAGCTGAGGCCCAGGAGGTGTGGAGGACTGCCGTGGTGCCGGCCTTTCTCAGGGATGGACACGCCGTCCCACAGGCGGTGAGGACGCCCTCCCAGCGCTTACTCTGTCCATGGATTTGCACTCGGGAGCACCCTGGCCATGGCACTCGAACTTTGCACCAGAGTCCTGGGCCCCCTTCCTGCCCTGCTGTGTCAGGGACAGGCCGCCTCAGAGGGATGCCTTAAGCCGCGATGGCCAAAGCATCATGCCCCAGGGCTGCGGAGGTGGCCGCCTGCCCACTGCCACTAGGAGCCTCCCTGGCCCTGGGACACTGGACACAGGGGTGCAAGCCTGGCTTCCGGAGGCAGGACCTGGGCCTCACGGCTGACCCAGGCCCTGTGGCCTGCAGGAGTGCACAGGACCTGCCGTGGCCAGGTCGTGTTCTCTGTCGGGGGACGCAGAGCCTGGGCACCCAGGGCCTCTCGGCAGACGTCAGAAGTGTCACTGGCCCTGGCCCTGTGGCCCAGTCACCTGTGTTGGAATCAGGGAGCGTCGGGCCTGCGCTGAGTCCTGGAGCCCAGAACGGTGCGACTTGGGACCGCATCCTGGGCAGGCTGTGGGCAGTGCCTCCCCCGACCCAGGCTGCCCCTGGTGCAGACCCAGAGGACCTATCCCCTCCCGGCCCTGCGGCCCCTCCCTTTCCTCTTGCCTCTCCGCTCTGCTGAAGACCCCGGCCTCGCTCAGCCTACGTGCATTTGGGCATTTGGGCGGGGCGCCTAGACCAGCCTTCCAGAAGGAGAGGAAGAGTTCTCCCAGAGGCCCGGCCCAGGCTGGGTGAGTTCGAGCCCTGAGCTTGATCAGCCAGGCTTTGCCCCAGGGAGGCCTGCTGGCCCCTGGAGTGTCCACCAGCCACGGGCCCTGCCTTCCTCCCGAGAGCTGGGGCCTGTGAGCATGAGGTCCCAGGTCAGTGTGTGTGCGTGTGTGTGCGTGTTGAGGTGGGCTTGGGGTGGGCTCAGGGTGCCGCTGAGACTCCTGCTCATGTAGAGAACTGCCCACGAGACCCTGAGGGCCATGGACGGGCTCCATAGGCCCATAGTGCCTTGCTGTGCCCATCTTACTGCCGCTAGCCCTCCGTGGTGAGGTGGGCAGAGACCCTGGGCCCAGCAGCACTCGGCCGCTGTCTTGGCCAGCTGTGGCCTGGTGGGCACCATTGGATGCCCTGGGTGCTGACCACAGCCCCGCCGTGTGCCAGCAGGGTGCCAGCCCAGCGTGGGAGCCCTGGGCACAATGGGCTTGGTCAGCCGTTCGGGGCAGAGCCGGCTGCCCTGGCCACCACCCTCGGGAGAGTGAGGGGATGGTGGCGGAGACCCGGCAGAGCCCTGGGTGCCACCCGGGGCCTCCCAAAGTTGTTTGCGGGTGAGGCCAGGAAAGCCACACTGAGTATGTTTCATGTCTCAGGAATCCACATTCCAGGTTCAGGAACTGTACCCCGAAGTCCCGGTGCGCTCACCATCCGGCTCGCGAGGACAGGAGCGTCCCCGGGCTCTGCACCGAGGACCGGGAAGACAACCCAGCTGCCGGGGCGCTGGTGTGTTCTAGAGCGGGTGGGGGGAGGGGTGGCTGTTCCCAAAGAGAGCACTTAACGTTTCCTCAGCGCGACGCTGGGCGTTCCGTCTGACAGATGGAAGGCTGACATTGCCTTAAAATGAAATATGCACACGTGGCTGTCTTGGCGAGCTTGTCTTCATCCCAGAGTGGTTCTCCCCAATGGCAGGGGGCGGTGCCACAGCCACTGCCGGCGGGGACAGGGACCCCGGACCGTCTGGGCTCAGGTTCATCTCACGCGAGGGGGAGGGGAGCAGTCTTGGGTGTTGGGTCTGCGCACACGTTGGGTGCGTCTGGTCACGTGAGGGCGTGGGCCTGGGAAGCCCCCACACTGAGAACCAGCGCGGTGGGGCTGGGCCACCTCGTTCCTTCACACGTGGACTGCTTCCCGGCCTGGTCGCTGTCGGGTCTGGCATCTCTGGCTTATGGCCGGGGCTGCCAGTTGGGGCCCATAGGGCTCCTGGTAGTGAGCGTGAGAACTCTGATTTTACCTTGGGGCTTCGGGCTCCGCGTCCGCCACGGCGACATGAAGGTGCCTGTGGGAAGAGTTCCCCCCAGCAAGGCCTTGGGGCCCCGGTCTAGGCTCAGCTCATGGCCGATGGACAGCCCCTCTGCATCAGCCATATCGGGACGGCGGCGGCCCCCGGGTCCTGCCGACTCTGCAGCCATAGAGCGGAGGGCTCGGCCGTCCCTGGCCCGAGTCCTGCTCACGGTGCTAGTGGGCGGGCACCGACAGCCACGGGGACAAGGTCCTGGGTGCCCCCCCTCACCCACAGATTCCAGTGCAAGCCCTGCCTGCCGCCTCGCCCCCATGGCACGACGTGCAGGTACAGACGCTGGTGGTACCAGTGACCAGGCCCTTGCCACACTGCAGGCACGGCCAGTGAGGGCACTCGGGGAGGACGGCAGGCAGGTGCTCTTCTGGTCCCAGGTGAGTGGGCAGCGCGGGGCCCCCCGGTGTTCTGCCTCCAAGCTGAGTGTCGAGAAGACCCGGCCTCCTTGCCCGGAGCAGGTGCTAAAATGCCCCCTAGGGACCTGAGCAGGCCACAGCCAAGCAGTGCTGCTGCCGGAGGAGCACCTGGGCGACACGGGGCCTCCCGCCACAGCTCCTGGGCAGCCGTTCACGAGTCCCCCAACAGGTGTCTCACCTGAAGGAGGTCGTCGGGTCACAAGCACCGTGCCAACAGGTTTGCAGGCACAGCCAGGACTCACTGAGGTCACCGTGTCTTCCGATACCACAACGCCCCGATGCCATCTCGGTGACTGCAGAAGCGAAAGCCAGGATGGGAGCTGATGGCCGTCTCCCTCAGGATAGTCGGGGCAGCCGAGCCCTCACCTGTCTGCCCTGACTCGGGGACTTGGAGCCTGTCCCGATGCAGCCCAGAGTGTCCGTGTCCAGCTTACTGCTAACGGGTCTTGCGTCCTGCTGCCACCCCTCAGTCAGGGACGCTCACTGGGGCAGGAGGCCCATGTCCAGAAGGAAGAGGGGCTTCTGCTGCCCCTGCCGAGACAGCGGGTCACGGCACGGGTCTCCTCGTCACTCAGCTTTAAACCTTTATACTTGTATTTAAAAACACACAGGATGGGGAGGGGCCTGGCCTCTGCCCTGCAAGTGCACATTCCGGGGTGGGGGGTGGGGAGTGGGGCCAGAAGACCTGGGTGGGTCCGGCCCTCCCTGCTGTCTTTCTGGGGCTGCTCATCTGGAAACTGTGAGCCGATGGAGCGCAGCTCGGGGCTGCCGGGCCCGTGCCCACTGCCCCCTGGGACGGGGTGGCCTTCAGGAGGGGTGGCCCTGGCGCCCACCCACCAGGGCTGCTGCCTGCCTGTGGGTGCGAGCGGGTGAGCTGCAGTCCGCCCACACCCGCATTGCTCCCGTTGACGGCAGCTCGGGTGCAAGTGCGTGTGCTGCAGGTCACAGCGACCCTCCCATCTGCGGCCATCACTGCAGGGTCCCTGCAGTCGTTTGCCAAAACCCAGGCAGAGCCCAAGGTCCAAGACCGTTTCCATCACACTCACGTTTTCCCTTTCCATAGGAACTTTCACCCATTGTCCGAGGCCGCGCCATCCGGGGTCACCACAGTGAAGGGTTAGGTCGCGCGTCCCCAGCCTGGCCTCGGCTTGCTCGGAGAAACTTTGTATTTTGTACGGCATAGATTCTATATTGTAATGACGTCCTATGCAAAAACAAAGTGACTAACTACATTGTACAGTTACTGTTTTAACGTGCATGCATGTTTAGTGGTGTTTACATTTTGAAATAAAACTTCTGATTCATTATTCTGTTTGCCTGAGCGGACTTCTGTGGGGGCCGTGGTGCCCAGCTCTGAGTGCGGAAGGGGTCGAAGTACACGAGGCCCTCGGCTTTGCAGGCCTCGCCCGGAAGTACGCTTTGTGCAGCTCCTGGGAGCTCCGTCCCTCCTGCCAGTGGGGTGACGTCAGCGCTCCCACCACCCCCACCCTGCGGATGGCCGAGGGGGGATGGCAGGCTCCCGGCCACAGGGCGTTCCCCAAGACCACCCGTGACAGCCCACACTAACTCCCCAGCCCTGCCGGTGTGGCTGTCAGAGCCCCGCAGGTGCGTGTTCCCGTCTGCGTCTAGTGGCGAGACACACGGACCTGGGCAGTGTAAGAGTGGGGCTGGCTGGCCTCACTCAGTCTGGGGAGGGTCTTCTTGCTGAGGGCCCGAGGTGCCAGCCTCACGCTCGGCCAATCACGTGTGGGCGTGTCTGCGTGGCCCTCTGCTCAGTGTTTCCCAGCCTGACAGCAGGGACCAGTCTCATGGAAGACAGTCTCTCCACAGCCCAGGGGGCAGAGGACAGTCCCGTGTGCCCCGTGCCCTCCACTGCACGCAGCAGTGAGTCACACAGTAGGGCTCGCGTTCCCCTGAGAACCCAGCCCCTCTGACTCTGCAGGAGCCGGAGCCCAGGCGACAAGGCAAGGGACGAGAAGGGCTGCAAACATGGCGGGGCCTCGCCCGCCCGCCGCCCACCCTGCCTGGAGGCTAGAACCAGCCCACAGCGCGGACTCGGGGTTCCACTGCAGGTGGGCCCTACGCTCCTGCCCTGTCCCTCCTCCCAGGCTCCTCTCAACACCATAACCTCAGCTCCATTAGGGGCTTGCCATGTTCCAGTCTGCGGGGCTGAGGGCCACACTCAGACCAGAGTTAGCGTGAGTCCAGAGTGCACTGCCCCAAACGGGTCACGTCCTGGTCCTTGGGATCAGAAGGCGGTGTTGCCGCCTGAGCTCCCCTGTGATCTGGAGCTGCCCCGGGATCCTGGGAAGTCCACGGCCGCAGAGCTGGGGCCGGGTCTGGAAGGACCTCAGCCAGGATGGACCAGGGCCCTGCCGGACCACACGGGCAGGGTTCTGGTTTTTAGATTTCT